TCAGGACCTCCTCAACGACCTGTGCTGCTTCGGGTTCCTCATGGGCGGCATATTCTTTGCTATACACAGTCGAGAAACAATGCCAGTGGAGTACGTCGTTGGTGTGGTGAGTCTTGAGTGACTGGGGTGTTTTCCTTATTTAAGGAAAGAGCTCATTTTCACACACACACACAAAAAAAAAATTCTTGAGATGAAAGCCAAGTTTAAAACTAACGTTGGTAAATATTTCCAGTGAAAAAGCCATGTGGTTAAAGATGATGCCCAGGGAGCTGACCCAAGTTAATGGCTTCCTTCTTGAAGCTGCTGACCCCAGAGCAAACGGTCCCATCTGGTTGGTTCTAATACTTTTTTTTTTTTTTTTTTTTTGTATTGGGGATTGATCTCAGGGAAACTCGACCACTGAGCCACATCCCCAGCCCTATTTTGTATTTTATTAAGAAACAGGGTTTCACTGAGTTGCTTAGCGCCTGGCTTTTGCTGAGGCTGGCTTTGAACTCGTGATCCTCCTGCCTCAGCCTCCTGAGCAGCTGGGATTACAGGCCTGCACCACCACCTAGCCTGGTTGGTTCTAAAGAGAAAAAGAGACTTAAGGACAGGGGAAGGGGAGGATTGAACTCAGAGAATCTCAGTGTGGAAGTTTGAGTGGACAAGGGGATATGTTAACTGGCATCAGTGGATGAATTACAAAACAGGATGTTTTTTGCAATGTTCTGAGGATCCTTTTGTCTTCCAGGCCCTCATGGGTGTGGCAGCACTGTTTTCTTTTATCGATTTATGTCTTCAAAGAAAACACTTTGGCAAGAAGGGCCCTCCAGCTGCTCCTCCACCAGCGTCATGAAGGAGATTCCCATTTCAGAAATGGAAGTGTATTTTACAGCAAAACACTTGGACTGTCTTCCTGGTCTGCTTTCTAGAATGGTTTTCTTTTCCATTTTAACAACTTCCTCTTCTTGGAAAAGAATTTTCTCCTTAAATGAATTTTAAAACTCGAAGTTGATGTAAACATTCTTTGGTTCACTTAACAAAAGTTACTGGAAGTTATGGTACAGAGGGAGAGACCTGAGACCCAGGGCTCCCTGGGATCACTCTTGGGCCAAGGCACAGAGAGTTTAGGGGACCAGATACACCAATGACACTGGTGTTTGTCAACACTGACCAGCCAAAGGGGCCAGAGGAAAATAAGAGATTGGAAAACAAACGAATGCATACATTTTGTTCACATTAATATTCTCGTTTTATATTTTTTAAAACATCCAAGTGGTCATTGTGAGAAAAATAAGTTTGTTGGACTTCCTTGCTCTTACAATGGCGTTTAATGCTGATCCTCATTTGAAGTTCACTAAAGAGGGGTTGGGGGGAATGTCATCACCTCAGGGCCTAAACTGGGCTGGAAATATGGGCTGAACTTGGGCATGAGGGGACACTGGGGGTACTTCACTCAGAGATGACCAGCTACTTTTCTGGGACCTGGAACCTGAGCATAATCCCTGAGCCAGACTCCAGCTAAACCCTGGAGCCACAGTCTCCACCAAAACCCCTGTTTTAGTTAGCTTTTTCACTGTTGTGACTAAAGGACACAACCAGGACAACGGTAGAGGAGGTAAAGTTTGAGGGGTCACAGTTTTAGAGGTCTTGGACCATAGAAGGCTGGCTCCATTCCTCCAGACTCAAGGTGAGACAGAACATCATGGCATAAGAGTACGGCAGGGGGAAGCAGCTCATATGATGATCAGAAGCAGAGAGACTTCACTCTCCAGATACAAAATATACCCAATGAACCACTTCCTCCAGCCACACCCCAACCTGTATCCAGTTACCACTAAGTTAATCCCATCAGGGATGAATTCAGTGACTAGGTTGAGGCTCTAACCTAATCATTTCTCCTCCAAACCTTCTTGCATTGTCTCATGCATGAGCTTTTGCAGGACACCTCATACCCAAACCGTAACAGTCTCCCAAGCCTCCCCACCAGGATCCTGCTCTCACTGGACAGACCAGCCATCATGGCTTGAGAAGGGCCATTCTCATGAAAAGAAAGTAAGCCTCCAAATGGATGCCTGAGGAAAGGGGTTTCTTGGAGCCCTAAGCCCAGACAGGGACAAAGTGGGGGAGAGGCTGGGCCTTGGGGGCCAAATAAATGACTTGGGCCTTTATCCCAAGTGACTTGGCACTCCATGAAGATGAGGGAGTGCAGGGTCCACTTTTCTCCAGGAGAAGACCAGGCTTGGTTGCTGCTGCAGAGTGGGTACAAACTGTAAGGAGGCTGCAGCTTGTGCAGGTCAGGGAGACAGGCAGCTGGGACAGGGTGAAGACCTGAAATGTGGAGGACTCAGGCCGGCTCCTCCACCCCACCTGTCCACTACTCACTCCTCTGTGCTCCCAAACCACCCTGTGCAGGCTGCAGGCAGTGTGAAAGCAACTAGAGGGAGCCCCATGATAGGAAGAAAAGAAAGGAAAAAAAGGAAAAACCCACTACCCTGCCAGTAACCCAGAATTCCTAAGAATTTAGCCAAGAGGAATGGTACTGGATAAGATAGGATAGACAGTAAATAGACAATAGAGGAACGGATTCCATTAAGGTTTCTCTAAATGTAAAGCCATCTGTGAGATTAATCTATAGAAGGAAACCAAACATTCCAACCAACTCCTTTATCCAGGGGTAGTGGGGAAAGGGAGGCAAGACAGACCTGAGTATAGGCTACAGACTCGAGGGCTAATCAGTAGTCTTGGTACTTTTCCAATTCCTGATTAGCATAGATACCAACCGATGCCTATACCCAGAATAGCTATATAAGCCTCTAGACTAGTACCCTTAAGAGGCAATTCCTATTGGGTCCCCTCTTGCCCTCTAGGAGGTATATCTGTTCTCACTTGAACAAATCTTTTACACTCACTCTTCCTTGTCCATGGATTTCACTGTTCGAATTCACAAGACAAGAACCCAGAAAGAAATTATGGGTGAGCTGCTAGGGCATTCTGCAATACTGGGAGACACAGCTTGCCACTGAGAGCTGCTAATCAGAATGGGCTTTCTCAGCTGCAGAATCCTATAACTTACACAGATCCTACCCACTGGCAGAAGCAGAGAATCTGATTTTGTCTTAAACTGCAGTTTCAATATACTGGAATGTTCCTAACAGCCAAAAAACTAGACAGATAAACTGTGCTGTTGTGGAAATCACGTTCAGCAAGAGACCAAGCACCACTCAGGGTTGAAGAACTCAGGTTAGTTATGCCAGTGGACCCAAATTAGCTAGTACTCTGAAATTCTGGGCACTGTGCTGAGGTAACATAGGACTTTTATAAGAAATGTGACATCATTTCTTAGCTATTACAACATTGGTGGGTTTGAATTCTTGGCCTATGTGACCAAAGACCATGCACAGGAATTCTCTCGATAAGCAGTTCACAGATGCAGGACAAAGGCAGAGAAACACCTGCGAGTGATATCACAAAGTGGCCTTCACTACAGGCAGCAGTTTCCCAAGATAACTGTAAGCTTACATCTCTAATATCTATCTATCTATATAAAAAACCTAGCATAGAAATGTTACAATTTAAACAAGTATTTAAACTACACTCTTAGAGACCAGTAATTAAGTAACACTCTTACAAAGAGTGCTATAAAGTAATATTCCCCTCCTCAATGGTACTGTGCCACTATAGCTTATTTTAAAACTGATACTTTTCCCCTTCCTCTTCTCCCTCTCCTCTAATCCTGTGGGGTGGGGAGCAAGAATAACTTTCTTCCCATCTCAGGAGGAGTTATCTGTCCTTTGGCTCACACAGGAAAGAAGAAGTCAAGACTTCAGAGTTGACTATTAAAAATACAGTGACTGTGTACATTGTAACGGTTAAGTCTTTGAACACCCACGTGCTTTGCTTTCGCTTCCACCGGGTAAATAGCATAAGTAAAATGGCTGGGTCACACAGTAAGCCAACGTTAACCTTTTTAAAAAATGGCCAAACTTTTCCAAAGCAGTGGTAATAATTGACACCCCCTATCCCCAGTATAGGAGAGTTCCAATGACTCTACATCCTCACCTGTACTTAATAATGCTCCCCCATTTTAAGCTATTTTAATAGATATATAGTAGTATCTCACTGCAGTCTTAATTTGCATACCTAGATGTCTAATGAGGCTGAGCATATTTGCACTTTATTGAATATTCATATACCTTCTTTGGTGAAATATCTGTTCAAATATTTAGAAAATCTTAAAAATTGGGTTTTTACCTTCTTATGACTGAGATACAGTCAGAGCCATATTTTTAATAACAAATCAGAACAGGGTTCTGCTCTTTTAGGACTCCCAACTGGCCTCTTGCCCAGGGAATTGTGAATAAAATCCAAACACCAGGTTCTCCACAACCCCAACCTGGCCCTTCTCTGATCAGTTTCCTCTTCAGTCCTTTCTTTGATATTACCTGCCTGGCTGTCCTCTGAGCCAGTAGACACCTATTACCAGGAATCATCTTATTTGGAATTCTTTGACTACTTAGGACTCTTTGCTCCCCTGTAACTCCCCAAACAGCAGAGCTTCTCCACAGTCTGGGCTTCCAGCACTGCTATTAAATGAACAGATGAATGTTGAGAAAGACTTCTCTGAGGAAATGACACTGCATTATGGTCCCTGAGGAATAAGAATTTAATCAGATAAAAAAAAAAAGTTGAGAAAGAGCATTCCAGGTAGAAGAGAGAGCATGAACAAAGGCCCTGCGACAGGAAGGAGCATGGTTTGTTAAACAAACTATAAGAAGGTCAATGGTTGGGAGAGACAAGGGAGGAAAGAGCCACAGGGGCGTTTATCTTGTGTACACCAAATCCTGAGCAAGATGGGAAGTTGCCCAGATTGGGTTTGGTTGGTTTGGTTTGGTTTGGTTTGGGGGAGGGTGGTGGTGGTGGAAGTGACTGTGATTGGTGATTTAATCATCCTTCTGGCTGCCAAAGGAGGAAGACAAGATGCTTCTTAAAGAGCAACCACAATTCAGGAAGAAAGGAGCAGTACGAAATGGACCGAAGGAGGCGCTGAGGTCAGCACCTCCAATCCCAGTGACTTGGAAGGAATGTCGGAAGTTCCAGGCCAGATTCTGCAATTTACTGAGACCCTGTCTCAAAAATTTAATTAAAAAAAAAAAAAAAAAAAAAAAAAAAGGCGGGTATGGGGGAGTCGAGGGTGTAGGTCAGTGGTAAAGCATCCTGGGGTTCAATTCCCAGTACCACCCGCCCCCCCCCCCAAAAAAAGTGGGTAAAGATCAGAAAGTTGGACAGGCCTTGGTAGTGGACTGACTGTGAGGGTGAGGGTGGAGGGGGACAACCCCCAGTCTCTATTTGTGAGACTCAGGACAAATGGTAGTGCCCTTCACAGAGGCCAGGAGCCCAGGACGCTGAACTCTAGACGCCCTGGAGACACGTGGTATGTGGCGGGGTGGGGGAGAGGGAGAGAGAGACGCGGGGGGAAGGGAAGATGGGGGTGGGAAGGAGAGAAATAGGGACAGCAGCGATGCGTGGGCGTCCCCCGGGATGGACTGGAAAACCCCGGCCCGGGGCAACCAACAAAGAGGCCCGGAAGGAGGAGGCGCTGGACTAGGACGGACGGGGGTGACCAAGGAAGTCACAGGGAAACTCCAGCTCCGAGAAAGAGGAGGGAATGGAGCAAGGAGCTGGAGGCCAACGCAGGGCCAGGGCAGAGGGAGGACGAGGCGGGGGTCTTTGCGGTTGAGATGCCTACGTTCTTGGGCACGGGCAGGGGCAAGAAGTTCGACAGGCGACAACGACTGCAGACAACCCTGCCCAGGGACGGATGCGGGAGCTCGGTAGGGGTGCCCAGGGGCGGTAATAAGGGGTCTACGCGGCCGAGCGAGGGGTAAGGCGAAGTGCGAGGCGGCGGCGGCGGCTGACCGGGCGGCCTGGGGGCCCGGGTGCGAGAGAGGGGAGGGGACGGAGAGGAGGGGACCCGGGGGCGGGGCGGGGGCGGGGGCGGGGCGGCACGGGATGCACCCAGCGCTGGGTCAGTCTCGCCTCTTTCTCCTTCCGCACGGTCTGGGTTTCCGCTTCCCTCCCAGGCGCGGAGTGAGGAGGGAGGCAGAGCCTCGGCCCTGCAGCCGCTGCCATGTGGCCCCCGGACCCGGACCCGGACCCCGACCCGGAGCCCGAGCCCGCGGGCGGCTCCCGGCCTGGCGCTGCGGTCCCCGGGCTCCGCGCCCTGCTGCCGGCGCGCGCCTTCCTCTGCTCGCTCAAAGGCCGCCTCCTGCTGGCGGAGTCGGTGAGTGCAGCGGGGACCCTGCCCGCGACCCTGTCGAGGCCGCCCCGATCCCCGCCCGCCAGCCTCCGCGCCCCTCCGGGCTGCGACCGCCCGGCTCCTCTCGGAGGCTGACGTCGAGGTGGCGGGGGAACGGATGTCGCGCTCCATCCCCATCTGGGCGCCCCACTCGCGCCTCCCCTTGAAAGCCCCCGAAGTTGGACCGACGCCCGCAAGTTTTGGAAGGCCTCACTGAACCCGAAGCCGAGTCGGCGGCGAGGCGGGTCCCAAACCCAGGCCTCCCCGAGTTCCTCAACCCGCGAAGCCCAAGTTGGGGGCCAGAGGACGCGGTGTGGGGGACCCTGGTGAGGAGTTTGTCCCCGCGGGCGCAGCGGCCCGGGCCTGGCGCTGTGCAGTTTCAGGCGCTTCCACCCTCCCTGGGCCCTTGGAACCCCGCTTGGCAGCGTGCAGAGAGGATCTGGCGGCTGGACGTTCAGGACTCGCGGCCGTGGGGGAGGGTCTGCTTTCCGCCTGGGCCTGGAGCTGGGGCCGGAGGCTGGGAGGGGGCCGCGTTGAGTGGGAAGCCCCGGCCCCGGGACTGGGTGAGGCCTGGATCGCGCACTGGGGGCGCGGGTAGCCCCAGCGGCTCGGGGTGAGGGTCGGGAGCCAGCGGGGTGACTTCATCTCCCTCCTCCCGGCCCTGGCTGGGCTCCTTCCTCCTTCCCGCAGATCCCCACCCCTCTGTCCCCACCCCGCCGGGCAGGGCTTCTTTGTCCCTCCGACACTCCTGATAACTCCCACACTGTCGCGTGTGGGGCGGGGACTGGCGAGGGGCCTCAGGGAGGGGGGAGGAGGAAGAGGCCGGGCAGAGGGGAGACCAGAGGAGGGACTCTGCAACTTGACAATACCTGTTCTCATTCCCACTTGTGGATTTGGGGAGAGAATGCTAGCAGAAGTAGTTAGGGGCTTCAGCAGGTGGCTTGGTTGAGGGGCCAAGTTATAGGAGGAGTGTGGGGATTGAGGAAATATTCTGCCCCAGGACCTTTCCCTTGAACCCCATGGCAGAGGGCAAGAGGTGGTTCTACAGCCTTTTCTGACTTGGAGGCAGCGCAGGGGTCAGCAGCCCAGCACCTACTTAGCTCCCAAGTGAGGCGACAGGCAGACCCAGGAACTACACTCGCAGGGACAGCCTCCAGGTTGGCCACCTCTACCTGCCCCCCCACCTCTGGACCTCCAGCCCCACCCCACCAGCACAGCCTCCTGAGTAGCGGGTAGGATTGCCAGCCAGGCACACAGGCCCTTTGGCCTAGCTGAGTGCAAGAATCCAGGAGGAGGAGGAGGAAGGAAGGGTAGGGGTGGGTACTCAGGATACAAGGGAGATCTTCCTAGTTACTCCTTCCCCCTGGTCACCTTCCTCTCACCCCTAGGCCCAAGCAAGTGGGAAGGCTGGACAAGGAGGGGGAGGGAAGAAAGTGGCCACCAAAAATGAGGGAATAATAAAATGGGAATCAAGGTGGGTTCCCCAGAATCCAGTTTGAGGGTGCATGGGAGGCTGGAAAGGGAGGAACCAAGAAAGCCTTTGGTTGGGGAAATAGGAGCTGTGGACAGGGCCGCGCAGAGCCTTGCCTTCCTGGCAGAACCTGGCAGCCTCAGCGCCCCTCTGCCTTCATTTCCAACCTGTCCAAGATGGCAGTGGGCCCCTAGGGAGGCTTAGCTACCCTCGTGGCCCTGTTCAGGGCAGACAAGAGTGCCCTGGGGACTCCCTGGAGTTCCTGCAGCTCATTTGTTTGAAACAGCCACAGTGCTTCCTGTGGGGCATCTGATGTCCTTGTAGGCCTCCATGCAGCCAACCCCTGAGCTAGTCAGCCATGGACACTCTCAAATCCAACCACAGTGACAGAAACCAGGGTAGATGAAGGCCACCAGGGCCCACAGATCAACAAGCCCTGGTTCAAATTCTGGTGCCTCTTATTAGCTGTGTGTCAGAGTCTGCTCATCTATGAATAAGGACTGTGAACAGCGCCTGGCCAGTGAGTATCAGAGGAGATACCCATATGAGTCTCAGCAGGCACTGGGAACAGAGGAACCACTGACCCATCCAACAGCCCCATGTTCTTGGTCTGCCCTGCACTGCACACCATCTGCAGGACTAGTGGGGCCTCAGCATCCTCTACACCTACAGCCTTTTGGGCAAAGCTGCAGTGAACATTTTGATTCTTATGTTCAAGTACAGCTAGCTCCACCTTTCATAAAGGCTGGCTGTATGCAGGCTACAGCAGGGCCCAGGTGTCAGGGCCAACATACCTTCCCTGGGTAGTTTTTTCCTTCTTATTAAGAAAATTTTATGTGACTACATAAAACAGCTGAAAGATTTATATTATTCATTTCATGCATCCACCACCTAGATTGTATAGTGGTTAATACTTTGCTATATCTGCTTTATCACCTATCTCCAACCCATTTTTGTTTTGATGCAAACTAAATTGCAAACCTCAGTACATTTCAACTGTAAACACTTCAGCATGCATATCATTAACAGATCAAGATTTGTTTTTTGTTTTTCAGATAAAATTTATATTCAGCAAAAAGCCCATATCATGGGGGTTGGATGTTACTTTTTTGAAACTGGTTGCTATTTAGTTTTGGTTTGCCCCTGCTAGGCACCATTTGCATTGGGTGGATTCTGTCAGAGAGCCAGTAAGGGGAAGGGTGAGCAGCCCCAGGAAGTGGCCTCCTGGGGGGCTGGATGCACATGGGAGGTGGGGCTTCAAGATTGGGTGCTGGCAAAGGCCAAGGCTCAGTCAGCATCATGCCCAGAAGGACTGAGGCTGCCTGGGTGTGAGCCTGGGCTTCATGAGGGCTTTCATCCTAGCTCTGCCATTTCCAGCTATAGGACTGAGATATTCTGGACTGCAGGGCCTGGACCAGGCAAGAAGAGGCTCTGACTGTGCCCTACTTCCCTACAGGGTCTTTCCTTTATCACCTTCATCTGCTATGTGGTATCCTCAGCGTCTGCCTTCCTCACAGTGCCTCTGCTGGAGTTTCTGCTGGCCCTCTACTTCCTCTTTGCTGATGCCATGCAGCTGAACGATAAGTGGCAGGGCTTGTGCTGGCCCATGATGGTGAGGACCAGGGGAATCAAAAAGGAGGGGTGGACTCTGATGGTATTCATCACAGAGCATCCATATGAGGAATCCAGAGTCCTGCATTTCAACCATGCTCGGTCTTCAGAGAACTGGTGGGACAGTTTGCAGCTGGTAATCTTCAGATAATCCAGGCCCCACCATCCAGCAGCTGGACCTAAAGCAGGTTGTGGCATCTGCAAGGCAGATCTGTGAAGCAGGGAACCTGGCTGGAGGCCGTCTCTGACCACCAGGTGGCGCTGTTGCTCCCAGTGGGGTGTTGGAACCCAGGTCAGCCACAGGAATTCAAGTCATTTTCAGAGGCAGGGCAGGTTAGCTTACTTGCAGAGCTTACCCAGACTTAAACATATGGCATCCTAGCATTGTTTGATCACTTGGGAGCCTCAGACCCCCGCCAGTGTCCTCTGCTAAATGAATATGCTGTAGAAAAAAGACAGCAAAGGCTGGGCTCCAACCCTGGTCTCTTGACTTTACCTCCAGCATCCATCCTTTCACCCTCTGGGGAGGGCTGCTCCTCCATCCATAAGCAGAAACCAGGATCCATAAAGGGATTGGCCACAGTGTGTGGCAAAGCGAGGCCAAGGGCCAGGTCTCCCTATTGGAGAATCTGAAAGGAGCAGGTTGACCACATTTCCAGCTTTCACCACCACCAAAGGGCCAAGCCATAGAGCAAGCAGGGTCAGGGTCAGGGCAGTGTCAGCCCTGACAGGAGGCATGGCAGGAGGGATGACAAGGTTCAGGACAGGGCAGGACTCCACAGTTGCTGGACCTGGGTATGCCAGGACCTGGCTGCCAGGCCCCCTCCACTCTGTGCCCCACTCCAGAGAGCTCAGAATGGTGTGGCCATGCCCCTCTCTCCCCAGGACTTCCTGCGCTGTGTCACCGCTGCCCTGATCTACTTCGTCATTTCCATCACAGCCGTCGCCAAATACTCAGATGGGGCTTACAAAGCAGCTGGGGTGAGCAGCAGCTCTGCCTCTGAGAAGAGGGTGCCAAGCAGTGTCCCCCTCTGAAGCTCTGATTCTTCTCTGGATACTCAATGGGGTGGGACCTGGGAACATCCTTTTCCTGCTTGGACCTCTTGGGATCCCTATAGATCTCAACTATTCCAGAGTCCTCTTATTAGAGATTTATTCTGCCCCGAGTTTTAAAACGCTGATTGTCAAACCAGGCTCACAGCTTATTTCCCCTTATTTGGAGGGTCTGAGCCTATCTGGCTGGGCAGCTTCTTAGTGCCACCCCCCACCATGCCCAGCTTCTTGGACCAGGGACTCCATGCTTCTAGTGATGTATTCCATTTACCCTGAGCAATGTCTCCTGCCACATTCCCTGTGTCTGTCCCACAGGTTTTTGGCTTCTTCGCCACCATCGTGTTTGCGATTGACTTCTACCTGATCTTTAACAACGTGGCCAAATTCCTCAAACAAGGAGACACCACAGAGGAGAACACAGCCCAAAGGGCAGAAGGTCAGTGATTGCCCTGAGGTTTCTGCCAGGGAACCCGGCTGAACACCTCTAGGATCACTACTGGGGCCTTGTCCTCCCTTGGGGACACTTTGCTAATCTGAACCTGACATAGGGCCAGGAAGTGTTTTTATAGCCTCATTGTCATATCCCCTCATGCAGTCACAAAACCTGTCCTACCTAGGGCCTCGGGCTTTCAAGGAGGGGCAAGCTGAACACATGCCCAGACCTTTGGCCCTACAAGGCTCCCATCATAGATGAATCCTCAGGGTAGCCAGTCATTCTCAGGACAGTTCTCCACCTGGGATCCAGAGTAACCACCTCCCTGGATCCTGCTTCCTCTGTAGTCTAGCCTGCCTCGGCCTGGGGACCAGGGACCCAATCTCTCATCCTTTTCTGCAGCTCCCAGGCAAACCAAGGAGTGTTTGGGTTTTATTCCCATGAAAAGTACAGTAAACATTCTGGCCTATCAAGCCATCCTTGTCCAACTCAGAAAGGCCAGCATGTATATTACCTGATCTCTTAAAAAAAAGAAAAAAAAATGTGGAAAGTTGGAAGGTTCATTGATCTGTCTGTAACAACACAGCCATACTGTTTTGCCTTTAGGTGCTTACGCTCTGCACAAGGCCTGAGTCAGGGGCTCTGCACAGGTTTATCAGGAGGTGCCACAGCTAGTTTGGAACTGCAGCCTCTCCAGGGCCTGCCTCAGTCACAGTCCAGAGAGGCAGGAGGGACGGCATGGATATAAGTGCTGACGCGGAATGGAGTCCTCCTCAAGGGCTCCAAGGCCTGTTGCCCATTTCTCTGCCCTGCCCCCAGGTAGACTTGAAAAAGAGGTGTTTGGCTCAGCACCAACCTCACACCATTCTGGTGTCCTCTGTGCTTGCCCTGGCCTTTGTGTCACCCCTTCTTTGACCATCATGTGCTGGCACTAGGTATGCACAGATGGACATGAAAACTCAGTCCCAACAGGAGTTGAACCCCAAAGCAGAGCTACACTGGACATAGCAGGGCATGTGTCATACTAGGGGTGCAAGAGGAGGTATCAGGGAAGATCTCCAAATGGGGTGCCAATTACAATAAAATGGAAGCTAACAGGTAAGAATAAAGCAACTGAGGGTGGTCCACTGTGTGCCAGCCTTATGGAGGTAACCAGAGACTTATGGAGGAACCCTGGAAACCCTAGAGCTGGGTCTTGATGGATGTATAGTAGTGTGCAGGAAGAAGAAATGGGGCTGGTGGGAGGAGAGGAAAGCAGAGGATAGAGTGCTTGGTCTAGGTGAGACAATTCTCTGGAGCCATCAGTGCTCATAGCTGGGCAGATAAGACAAGGGAGCTCTCAAGGCCTATAGGCCCCACCTTGGAGTTGAGACCTTCCCACTGAGTGCCTGTTGTCCCAGGTGGGACCCATGCTTATTAGGAACCACCAGGTTCCCAACAGCTGGGCTCTAGGGCCATGGAGATCTGTGCAGCAAAGATGAGGTTGAAGATTCTAAGAGTGCTGGGCTGGCCACAGAGGAGACAAACATCTAAAAACAGCAACTGGCACTGGGGTTGGGGCAGGGGTGGGGTGTTCTCCTTTCCTGGGCTGGGGAGTTCCAGAGGGCTCTGATCTTCAGTAGTGGGATTTCAGGAACCCTGAGTCATGCCTCACTGACAGGCCCTTAACATTATAAAACTGTGATCACAATATCAAACAAGGAAGGAGGAGGAAATTTGAAACTATGAAACAGCTAAAAATGGACTGCTGAGTTTTCGGTATATTTTAATTTGGGGAATAAGAAAGTAGTTATTTTTGCCTTCTCCTGCTAAATAAATTGGGGACATCCTCTGGAGTCTTGTGAGGGTATAGAGAAGGGGCAACCAGACTTCAGTCTGGAGTGGAAGTGTCCCCATCCCCCCACCCCATCCCCTACTCAGAGACTGCCTGGGGCTCCTGCCAGCGACCTAGCTGTGCCTCTCCAGGGACTACTCCCAGGCACTACTGCCCTAGAGACTCCTCTGCTTTCCTTTCAGAGGAGAATTCTGACTCTGACTCCGACTGAAGGCCTGCCCATGCCAGCAACCTGAACCACACAGGACCTTCAGGCCAGCACCTGCCTGACATGCTGAGGAGCATGTCCAGGGGAAGCTATGTGTCAGGAGGAAGACTGCCCAATGGCCCTCCCCACTGCCTCAAGTTTACATTCCTGAGCCCAGCACATGAGACTGCACTCCTTAGCTTAGTGCTGTTGAACCACTCCGCAAGTGAGGGCATCTTGAATATTCCACCTCTTCCCATTCCTGTCTGCATACCTTAAGCCCTTCAACCTCAATACCAAAGACAAGCACAAAGAGACGCAGCAGACAGAGCTGTGTTACTGCCTGCCACAGCAGTCAGCTCCGGCTGCAGGGCTGAGTCAGGGCGGGAGGGGGATGGCCTGTTTCAACTAACAGGCGTGAACAGAGACAGAACCACCGCAGGCCAGCCCACCAGGGCCCGTGCTTTGCATGGAGTGCCCCTGCTCACGCAGCACTTTGGTAAGGAATCTTTTGTTCAAGGAGCACAAGTTCCTTCCTCATTGTGAAACAGGAAGGAAACTGACCTTGGCCTTACTGTCCAGGAGTGGATGACACCCACCCAGCACTTCACACTTGGAAACATCTTCAGGTGAGATAACTGTACCAAGTCTAACCCTGTTTCAGACAGGAGCTCACAGATGCACAGGTCAGGGCAACACAAAGGAAACCCATTGATCCATGGCAGTGACCATGTCAAGAGCAGCTGGGCAGGCCTAGCCAAACCTTTCTGGTGACAAATGTTCTCATCATCCTTCCTTCTGGATACTGGGGCAGGTCTATTGACCACCTCATGAGAGATGAGCCCTCTGTGTTTGCCTAAGGATTTTTTAGTGTTATATATCTTTGATGGCATTTTGTACCTTTTTATAATTTTTTATACAAAAGCAGCTTTAACAAATGGCATTTTCTGTGAGGCAAGAGGCCTCATGAATGAGCCAAAGTTCTGACCCATGTCTTGGGCACTTATAACCTTATTCTTCTCATGCATGTGAATCTCCTAACCTGAAAAAAAGCGTTTAATGGATTAAACCAGACTGACTACCTACTTATAGTGTGATTGAAAAACTCTTCCACCACCCAGAGCAACACTGTGCAATATCCTAGCATGCTTCAGCACAAACTGGTAACACACGAGTGAACCCTGACAGCTATAAGTCTTAGCAACAAGGCATGCATATTCACTCGTATGCCAGGCCTAGCATAAGAATCTGGCCAGCATTTGATCCTCTTATTTCATCTCACAGTCAAGGAAATGGAGAGAAAGGGTAGGGCCCTATCACACATCAGGATAACCTCCCACAGCAGCCAGACCCTAGGCCTTTTGAACAATGTACCTGAGTTGCAGCCTGGAGGACCCTAGTGAGTATCTGGCCCAGGCTGATGGGAAGAGGCAACTGTCACACACAATGTGTCCTGAAAATGTGATAAAAGTAGAATGGGAAGAAGCCGACAGAGTTGCATGGTGGAGTTTCTGCTTCACCTTGCCAGTCCAGCAGAGATGATATCACAGAGGCCATTGCATCCTGTGGACTGGGGCTCTGTTCCACCTCCACTGAGCAAGACCATTTCAGAAGCTGGGTCCACAGCCTTTTGGGGGGCAGGGGCAGCAAGGCAGAGAGAAGAGACAATAGCATTTTTATATGTTCATTTATTAAACAAGAACTCCTTCATGACAATTTAATACAATATTTATTAGCGATTAGTGTTGAGAAAATTATTTCCCTCTACATACAAAAATACAGATTTGAACAATGAAAACAATCAAGACAAGTACCATGAAAAATTGGTCCTTCAAAAGAAATAAAGGGGGAAGATCTAGGGTAATGTTAGGCTTTGTATACCGTCAGGGACAAATCAACAGGAGCAAATGCTTTGGGGCCCACAAACCACATCAAATGTGTAGGAACAAACCCAAGAGCCAGTCAGAGCCACAGGAGGCTCACCCCATAGCACCCATGTCTACTTGAGAGGCCAGGATAGAACTCTGTCCCAAACAGCACAAACCAACATTTGTCCAGTGGCCATCACCTCAGAACGCCCCACAGCTGTGTCCATAAACTGCCAAAAATACTTTCCACAAGCAAAGTGGGACAATTAACATTGCCCCCCAAAAGTGCCACTAGCTGAAGTACCGATGAATGATCTGTTATTATTTAGCTTTTGACTGGACTTCCGTCATTATAGAATTACATGTTTTGAATCTTCAGAAGGACAAAAAAAAATAAAGCTACAATTTCATGTTTCAGTAAATATGTACCTTCATTCTGCAATGGCTCAACTGGTTTACTCAAGATTATCCTTGACCAGACATCCTCAGTCCTACAAGGGTGGGAAAGCAGAAGGAGCCACTATAGAGTCTGCCTGTGCCCTGGTTTCACCCGTTCCTCGCAGCAAAGCAACTACTGCATCCAGGCCTGAAACCCCAAGAGGGCCATGAGACACCCAGGTCATCCATGAACCTACATAAAGTCTGAGAGGAAGTGACGCCTAAAGAAGGCTACTGTGTTTCTGGGAACCAAGTGACACCCAGACTACCCTGGAAGACTCCAGGCCTTAGAATACCTTCAGGTTCCCAGGGGAACGGGACAGGGAGCCAAACACGCACTTTCCACCATTTCAGACTCAATGAATGGGAAGTCAGGGCATGGGTGACCTTTTCTTTTGGAAACATTTTCCTCTTACTGTTCGAGGTGAGTGACACTTAGTTTCTTCTAACTGAGCAAAGGATTAAATAATGCCAAATGCAATTATACTGACTCATAATTGTTTCACAGAAATATACTATTACTCTCAGACTATTTAAATAAGCAGAAACAAGGTGTGGGGGACATTCAGCAGAGAAGAGACAGGAGTAGCAGGGAAATTTTTTTTGTTGTTGTTTTGTTTTTGTTTTCTTTTTTAAAATACATATTAAGTTTAAAGGAAAAGTGGCCCAAACCTCAAGACCAGCATTGTTGAAAGGAAAACAATATTAAAAGGACACAGTCTAAAATCATACTACAAAAATAGTGTTATCTGTTTTAACTAAATGTACATCTTTTTTTCCAATTCCATGATTGACAAGAGTGCTTATGTGACACATGGAAGGCACCAAAGGTGAAGTGATTATTTATCTTAAAATATACAAAGACAGAATTAACTGCTTTGAAAAAAAATACAGTCATACCTGTAATAAATAGTTTAGTGTTTTGCCTAAAATTTCAACATATACAAATAGTTTTAATCCCTAGCATTCTCTTAGAGGGAACCATGTCAAACTAAGTCAAGTTCCAAAAGCACTGATTTTATGCAAATAGATCAACTTCGTTGTGATTTGAAAACTCATTTTTAAGTGGTCGAGAAGAGAAAGCTGGAAGCAGGCGGCCCCAGCTGGGCCTGGGTCAGTATGGGGTTGGGGGAAATCCTAGGCATCCTGTCCTTGCCCATGTCCTCCCCAGCCCAGGGACCAGGCAGTTTTCCCTTCAAGGCCTGAAGATTTGCATTCCACACTTCCACAGAGAGGAGAAGGAAAGCTTGACACTTGTAATATCAATTTGGGAAAAATCGGAAAGGCAAAACAAGAGTCTGGAGAGGGAAGCAGTCATTAGTTAGGCCTGGCCTGGCCTTGGGTGGGCACCAGATCTCCCTTCACTGTCCTTAGTTCCTGGTCACTCCTCGGGTGCCTTGCCTTATAAATAGGGGATACTTTCAATGGGGTGTCAGCAGCAGCATCCAAGACAACTCACACTAGATGGTTCAGATTGTTACTGAACCCCACAAATCATCAGAACCTTCTTTCACACCATTTCTCTTTTCAGGCATAATTATGAAAAGAAACTCTAGACCTTGCCCTAAATCGCATCAACAAAGATGATTAAGATAGTGCCAGACACATTCTTACCATAAAATTAGAACCTTAAAAGTTCCAACAGCCCACCAGAGTCCAAGCAGTATTAACCCTTCACCAAAGGCTCACCTGAGTTCAAGTCTCAGCACAGTGTGTGAACAACTAGCTCAATGAAACAAATCTGCTAAACTTCATTCTGGGCAAGCTGCCTGTTGATTCAAGCTCACTGGGCTTGTGGGTCATTCTTTTCTTTACTGTTACATTTATGGAATAAGAAAAACTAGAAAGGAAAAGAATTCCAAAGGTTGAGAAATTGTATTCAAATGGAAAAAGAATATACTCCAGACAAAAGAAGGGAAAACATAAGACTGCTGCCTCTGTTTCAAGCCAAGGTGTGTGCGAATGTTTACGGTCATGAAGAAAATTCGGTTTCAGAAAAAAAATTCTTCTAGATCTAACATACTGAAGGTAACTTTTAGAGACAGTTTATAAATAAAGGAAACATAAAAGGTCAAATATTTCAAAGTACTTTCTCAACCAGACAGATCTTCTGATTTTTAAGGTATCTGCTGAGAAGAAAGATTTTAGAGTCAGGAAAGTTTAAAAAGCAAAAGGGTGGCCCTCTTAGATCTGTGTCCTTCCTGGGGTGCACCTGAGCCAGCTCAAACCCAGAGTAGATGCCAGGAGGCAAGAGCATGGAGGAATACCAGTCCCCAATGGTCAGCTCTCGTCTTCAGGCTGATTCTGAAACCCAAGATCTCACCCTTCTAAACATAAGAGCATAGGAAGGTGGTGAGCCAAAAACACATTCCTTAAGTAGCCTGAGGTATAAACACACCTGGTGCCAACAAAAGCCCCCTTTCCCTTCCTCCTCACTTCTCACCCACCCCTGTGTTGACCTCATCTGCCCACCAAGTCCCTTGCCTAGTTGGTCCTAGGAGTGGGTACTGATCAAAATCAGACAGACCAAGGAAACAGAAGACTTGGATCCTGCAACTTCTCAAGAAACTTAAAAGGCACCTGGAGACCTCCCAGGTAACAGCAGTCCCTAGAGCCAGAAACAACTTTTCTTCTGCTCATGAAAATTGCCCAGCAGCTCTCAGTCTAGAAAGTGTATTACCAGTTCTGCTACTGCTCCACAGACAAGGTCTAGAGAAAATGACAATCAGGTAGTGGCACAATGATTTCATGATTGCTTTGTTTTGGACACAGATGGCACAGCAGTAACCACTTAATACTAACTTGGCCACAAGTCTTCATGCTCTTTTTTTTTTTTTTCTTTCTTTTTTGGTTAGGACAGGTCCCAAGACCTACCCACAAGAAATCTGGCACAGACAGACATGAGACCTCTGAAAGCACATTGATAGGTAAGGGGTTTCTTCCAAATAGTGCATGCAAAACTAGGAGTAGAGGTGAGCTTGGGCCACACACAAGGGTTATCTGAGGCTCATTCACAGCAAGCAAGAATTCACATACATGTGCAGATAAGAGTTAGGGCTTCCTCTCCTCAGAGAATGCCTGTGGCTTAACCCACGTCTGAGTCACTAGGAAAGCTTTACAGAAGGTGGATAAAACTGCAAACTTGAAGAGAATAGGAATGTTTTCACAAGGCTCTTACCAGAATCATCTAGCCCAGGGTGGAGGCCAGATACCCTTGGCCTGTTGCAGGAGATGGTAAAGTGGACCCAGGGCCAAGCACTCAGAGTCTGGCGTCCTTGCTGATTTCCCTGTAGCTGTGCAGCCAACTGCAGCACTTCAGTGACCATTGCTAAGAAAGATGTAGGCTGGAAGTAGGGTCATTATTACATTTTTTTTGTAGATAAAAAACAATCTCCCTTGGATGTCTCTTTGTTTTAAATCAAATTCCACTGAGAATATTTTAATCTGTTTGCCCTTACCATAGGCCAACAAGCATTTTTAGGTTTTCATGGCAACAGTCTCTCTGTATGAAAGGAAAAAGGGGTTGCCTTCCATGTCTTCAGCAGCACAAAAAGGGGTAAAGGAATCAGAAAAGAAAAGCACCCAGCTAACAAAATCAGTGTCAAAATAAACTTCCTCTGAAGATGTCAGTGTTTGCATCCATCAAAACCGCCATAGGTTCTACCAAGTGCTGCGGGTTGCCACATCTCCAGGAACACATCTCCCTTCCAGTTGTACTCCAACAATGAAAGCCAATTCATCCCACCAGAAAACAGAAATCTAAGGTTGCCTTAGCCTTAAAATACCTCAAACCTAAGTGACACTGGTCTAAACTGGAACTACTAGTTGCAAAATTGCTTCTTCAATTTTCTAAGAGATCAATTTAAGACCTCCAAATCTAGATTGTCTTTTGTTTGTACACAGAGGCAACATAAGAAAAATGCAGGTTTCTTTACATTCTCAGTAGACAGCCGTATTCCCTTCATAACTTTCCCTCCCTACATTATGGGTATATGAGGAGACAGGGCTATGCACTACACCAACTAGAAAGTGTACAGGCCACTTCATGGATAAGCCTCATGACAAATGATATTAAGTAGTTACAGGGACATAAACAGTCCAAAGATTCTGTCACTAAGATGCAAATTAACTCCAAAGTCTCTCTGGGTACAGGCATCATCACTTTTTATCATGCCTCAGCATTTCTGGTCTTGATTGGCCTCAGAACTTTTTTCAGCTGACAGTACATATTAGGAGGCAAGTCAACAGTCTCCTTTCATCAGATGATAAACTGGTTTTACTGAAGTGACTTGGAAAACTTGAGCAATGATCTTGCCTGAATGGTTTTCTCTTTCAGTCTCACTTCAAAAGTAGCCTTAATAAAAGGCCAAGTAACTTGACTCCCAGCAGATATCTGATAAAGTTCAGGGTGGTCCTTCCAAGTAGGCCCAATCCAATGCAAGCCTCAGTCTTTATGATCCTATTTTAAGTGGAATTCTCTTTTTTAATTGGAAGATAACCTCAGTTTTGATTATGTAGACTCACTCATCAATGCAGAACAAATATGTAAAATGAACAGATAAAATTCAGATGTCATCAGCTTCCCACACATCATTACATATCACAGGTTCAAAGTTTGTGAAGCATGCTACGTACTGACTCACAACAGGCAAGGAAAGAGGGCTCCATCAGCTACACGGCACACTATACCCAGCTGTAACCAGGCCAGGCTGACCTCTGTGGCAGAAGAGGGGAGTAACCACAAGACTAGCTGGGTCATCCCCTGATGCAGACTTGTGCTTCATGTGATCTGGGCCACTGTCTGGACAGAAAGTGCACCAGAACTGATCTATACTGGATGTTGGGTTAGGGAGCTAACCTTTAACCTGACCACAAGGCACAGCATGGCACCACTTCCTGTAGAGTCCTAGTCTAGCAGACACCCATCCTCACTGTTGAACAGGATGCTGCTCTTTTCTGAAGAACACAATGCCACACGTGCATTAGAGGGGGCTTCCTACAAATATTCCTCTCCTTACCCCAAACATATACCACCCCTCTTCTCTCTTCCGGGTTGTCTACCTCACAAGACATTGCTAAAGCTATAAACAGTCCTCAGTACAAGATCCTGGGGTTTCTCCAGACTACTACAAAATCCTTCCACCAGTGGTACCTTTTCCTTGGTGAGGGCTAAACACAAAATATGAGAGCTACAGTGATGTCTGTAAACATTAAACAGTTTAAAGAGTGAAAACCTGACAAACTAAAACAAATTTTTCATTAAAAGATATTAGTTTTTAACAACAACAAAACTATAACATTATAGGGTCTTATTTAACCCTCTCATTCACCACACACACACAAATCTTCACTTTTATCAAGAATCAATCAAAAACCTTAAGTAACTAGGACTTCCCCCAACAACTCCCAAGAGCTGCTGTTGATAGTGACGGCGCTCAGGCCCCCAGGGCAACAATCAGTGCCTACTGAAATGTCAGTGGGAGGATGTGTCCTGGTGCAAATTCAAGTATTTTCAAATCCTGGACAAATCTACTCAGAATCACTTTAGAACTCACTTAGAAAATGAACACACACCCCTAAAACACAGGGAAGTGTTTGTGTGTGCTGATTTGTAACACAAATGTGGTCCATGAAGGCAGCAAACAGGCAAGTGCTTTGGCTGCTAAAATGTATTGTTTCTTTTGCGGCTTTTACCTAAGTCGGTAAAATTACAGACACCCCACAATTCATTCTCAAAGTATTTAGGGTAGACAGGAATCTGGAAAACAAGGTGGTCTCCATATTCCTGGAAAAAAAATCTGGGACTCAGGAAGATGATTCATTTGAGGAAGAATCAAGTGATTTCTCAGCAGAGTAGGAAAGAAAAAGTGACTCTCCCGTGAATCAGGCAGTCCTGGGAGCTGTCCCCCCACAGGACACCAGCTTTTCCTGTCCCTGTTATGACCAGGCAGAAGATCTACCAGCACATCCATCACCAAAACCCTCAGAGTACCCTGTGGCCTTCAGGATGTGCTAGCTACCTGGACACCAGGTGCAGGGAAGATGAGGAGAGTGGATCCTGGTAGCCAGACTCAATACCTGCCCAGAGCACTGGTGACTGTTTTAACCCTAACCTTCATTCCTTGACATGTATTTCCCCTCTTTAGCAGCCCCATTTAACCCAAAGTCTTGACTCATCACAAATACATGACAGGATGGCTCAGAGTCAGATGGGAGCCTGCACTCTGGGACACTTAAGCCCTAGAGTAGACACAGGAGGTCAGTGTGGCCAGAGGCTCCCACAGCCACCCAACACTCGAGGACATGGGTCTTTTCAGGCCACCACACACCTGTCCACTGGGCCACTATGGATGCCCTTTCCCAAAGTGAACTTAAGAAGACAAAATTCAACTAAATCACATGAAAGTTTGACGTGCCGAGGGAAAGAAAACTTGATTGGAAAGATGGGCATGAGGATGAGAGGAAGGAGGACTCCAGAAATCCTCACGTGTCCAGGCACTGGATCTCGGGGCGACTGTCCACGTCTCTGGACTCAGTGCGGGCTCGAATGTAGTCATTGGCGCTCTGCTGGTGGATACTGACTCTCCATTTCTGCACAGCCAGGAACGTGCTCACCGCATAGGCTGCTGTGGCCAAGGAGCCAAATATCTAAAACACAAAGACACAATTCACCTCAGGCATGCAATCCAAGTGGCTTCATGGGGACCCCAGCTAGATGCAGCTCCTTCTAGCTGCACCCCATCTACAGCATTGTGGAATGTATGGCTGTCACACCTGGTGGAGGTGCTCCTCGTGTGATCCACAGAAAATCCTGCCTCAATCAAAGCCAGCCTCAGCAATTTAGCAAGGCCCTGTCTCAAAATGAAAAAATAAAAAGGGCTGGAGACATAGCTCAGTGGTAAAGCATCCCTGGGTAAAGCACCCTCAGCCCTCTAGTGTCATCTTTTGTTGTTGTTGTTGTTTACTGGGTTAAACTGCGGTACCCTCCAAATACATTTTGGACCTTTTTTAAAAATCACATACGTATCTCTTTTACTGTTTGTATCTTCATGCCCTTTAGTCTCAAATGTGAGAATGTAATGCAGACAAAATGAGATGAAGAGAGAATAATAAGAGTTTCAAATCAAGCCACAGGGCTGAATTCCAAATCCCACCCCCATCTGCTGCCACTTACCCCGGCAGCTCCAGATGAGACACGTGGGGTTTTAATTACTTGGTAAGGCTTGGAGAATCTACTGTGAGGCACTGGGAGAGAAGTTTTTTAACTCTCCCCAACTACAAAAATGAAACTTGTTCTTTGTGAATCAACAGCAACACAGAAGCCTGGAGCGTGGGGAGAGAGCAGGTCCCACGCATCTCCCCACCCTCCACGTCAGCCTCCACACTCAAGAAAGAACTCAAGGAGGATGAGTAGTAGGACACATGCCAGAGGACAAAGGACAGAAAGTCACAGGAGGTGTGAAGTCAGCCTGCATTTTACCAACTCAAGTTCTCTTACCATAGCAGCAATTTCTGCTCCGGTTTTGTGGTTTAAAGCAGCCAGTACAATTGAGGCAATAAAGAAAAAGAAAGTGCTGAGTCCAGTGTTGACCAAATCCTAAACAAAAAAATAAAAATAATTTGAAAAGAACAATTTGAAAATCAACTGAAGAACTTCCAAAATAGGATGCACAACATGCAACCTCCAATGGCCCCGAATCTCAGCCTTGAAGACACAGAGATACTGGTCACACAAAGGAAGATAAAAATAATAGTTCACGGTTAATGGTTGCTTGGCAAACCTGCACAACAAAATCCACCACATCACCAATTCTTGACTTAAACAACAGCCATTATTTACTGTTTAGCGTCCTGGTATCTTTTTAATTTTTTGCAGTGCTGGGGTTAGAAATCAGAGCCTCACAATTGCTAGACAAGAGCCCCACCACTGAGCTATACCCTCAGCCCTCCAATGTCATCTTTTGTTGTTGTTGTTGTTGTTGTTTAATATTTTCTTAGATGGTGCTGGACCTTTATTTTATTCATTTGTTTATATGTGGTGCTGAGAATCGAACCCAGTGCCTCACATATGCTGGGCAAGAGCTCTACCACTGAGCCACAACCCCAGCCTCTCTAGTGTCATCTTTTTAGAAAGATGCTCACACAATGGTCTTAGTGTGGACAAAGCATCCTAAGGGTCCAAATGTACTGAGACTGATGCAGTCCCCAGCATTCCTTGCCTCCATGTGTAAGGTTTAAAGCACACTATTTTCAGACATTGCGAACACATGTTCTTACCTAGATTTTCAAACCTCTATGTCACCAAAGTCACTGCAGAATTTTCTCCTAAACCTCTTGCAAAGCAAATGAAGTTACTTACCTAGTGTTTCACAGACTTAACTTCTGTCTTATTTATGAAAAGACTACAACACACTGATTAAGAGCCATAGCCAGCAGCCAGGCTCAGTGGTGCATGCCTGTAATCCCAGCAGCTTGGGAGGCTAAGGCAGGAGGATGGTGAGTTCAAAGGCAGCTTTAGCAAAAAGCGAGGTGCTAAGCAACTCAGAGACCCTGTCTCTAAATAAAATACAAAATACATCTGGGGGTGTGGCTCAGTGGTTGAGTGCCCCTGAGTTCAATCCCTGGTACCAAAAAAAAAAAAAAAAGAGTCATAGCCAGCCTAGGGTCTAACTAATACTATGACTTCAGATGAACTGCTGTGTTCCTATGTATTTTATGTGGACTAGCAGCCCCTTCTCCCCAGAGCTGTTCTGGAAGACAAGCAGAACTATGTAGGTGACAAGCCAAACACAACACCTGGCCCACAGCTGGATCCTCTACACTGGTACTTCTGTTATTGCTTTGGCACTAGACCCCAATAGCCTGGGTCATACTATATGGCCTCTGTGAACTATAAAAGGGATGAAAATTCAGGAAAAAGACCAAACTGCTTAAGTGCTGGTTGACTATACCATCAACACCTGGTGGTTCATCCGGTCTGGCCTGAACTCAAGATTGACTTGCTCTTTTTAAAGATGCAAAGAGACAAGTTTCAATTTAATAGTACTGAGTCTGGGTAGTAGAAACCACCTGGATTTCCACCACACTTCTTCATGGGCTAGGGCAAAACTGCAATGTAGGGACTGTGAGGCTCTCTTCAAAAACACCTGCCAGCAGGACAGGGTTCAGATGTGATCTGTGAAGCCAGGGAAATTTCTCACAAATTCAAGCCAGAAAGTATCTAGATATACTTGGCTCTGGGATAAGATACTGTTGGGGTCAAAAATATAAAACATATTTCCCAAAGCAAAGATTATTCAGAAGGAAACATATTTTATGATATAATGTTGGAAGTCAAGCATCAAGCAAAATTGTGACTATGTAAAAATACAGATGTGATAAAAAGGGCTAGGAAATTAAAAAAAATTTTTAGTTGTGATGAACACAATACCTTTATTTAATTTATTTATTTTGATGTGATGCTGAGGATCGAACCTAGGCCTCATACTTACAAGGCAAGGGTTCTGCCACTGAGCCACAATCCCAGCCCAGGCTTAGGAAATTTAAGGGGAAAATTTTAAAAATTGTAGGAGTACCAGTGATTTTAAACTTGTTTTAGCAACGACAATCAACATTAAATAAAGACTGAAAAGATAAATATGGTCAGAGAATATAGTGAAAAAATTTAAAAAGATGTTTTACAAAGACAAGATAATATCCTACTATGATCCCCCACCAGGTTATTCAGCCAATAAGATGAAACAAGGGGGAAAACACAAGCAACTGCTAACATGAGCACATCGACCTTCAAATTCCACTGAACTAACCCATTTTTGAGGCTGAAGCCCTCGCCTCAAAAATGAACCTGCATATTACTGTGCTTCTAGAGCTGTGCTGTCTCAAACACATGTGGCTACTGGACATTAAACCCACTGAGCTACATAAAATAAGAAGTTCCATATTTCAATCACATTAGCCCACTGCAAGTACTCAGTAGCCACCTGCAGCTCATGGCTGCACACAGAGCAGTACAGATCAGAAAACATTTCCACTGTTGGAGAAGCTTGTTGGCCAGAGTTGCCCCAGAGCCAATAACCAGGTCACACACAAGACAGGGACAGAGGAACAAGTAAAGCCTCACCACCAGGACGCTTGCAGCTAACTCCAGACTGTAAAACGCTTCACAGGATAGACAAATGACCCAGTGTTTCTAACAAATCAATAAAATAAAAGGAATGAATGGAAGGGGGTTATTTGTGTGAATCTCGTGTAGACTGTGACCTGAATAAGACAAATGTAAAAAGATATTTTGAGACCAAGGGGAAATTAGAGTATGAACTGAATATTAAATAATATTAAAGAATTGCTAATTTTATTGATATAACAATCATATAACGCTATCTTTTAAAAAGAAAGATAGTGAAGAAATAAAGGATTTTGCTAACTAATGAAAAAAATCATTTTAAAAGTTTGTATTTCTATTTAACACTATAAACCAAAATAAATCAAAGAAAATAAAAATTATATGAATAAAGCAAAACCACAAAGTCCCATGTGTATGTTTAAAAAACCTTCACAAAAAATACTTTTTAAGCTTTACACCAAATATAAGACATCCAATAAAATCTTGATAAATAGTAAACCTTTTGATATTTGATAAAATGACCAATATTCTTAAGAAAATGTAACAAAATAAGGAAAGGCCATGAATAAGCAAATTTTTTTTTCCTTTGATACTGGGGATTGAACTCAGAGGCACTCAACCACTGAGCCACATCCCATGCCCTATTTTGTATTTTATTTAGAGACAGGGTCTCACTGAGTTGCTCAGAGCCTTACTGTTGCAGAGGCTGTCTTTGAACTTGCGATCCTCCTGCCTCAGCTTCCCGAGCCACTAGGATTACAGGCATGTACCACCATGCCTGGCTATAAATAAGCAATTTTTTAAAAGTATAAATGGGGTTGGGGTTGTAACTCAGTGATAGAGTGCTTGCATTGCACGTGTGAGGCCCTGGGTTTAATCCTCAGCACCATATAAAAATAAATATATTTTAAAAAATACAATGGAACTTTAAAAATGAATAAAATTTTTTAAAGTATAAATGGCCAATAAGGAAGAAAAATGTTCAAATTTATTTGTAAGCAAAGAAGTGAAAATTAACTTGGCAATTGCAAGCTTCTTTTCTGGAAAAGACTACAACTCTGTATATGTATGTATGTATGTATGTGAGAGAGACAGAAAGATAGACACTGACACACAGACCAGCCAGCAGGGCTCACATGACATAACTTTCAGGAAAACTATTTGCTAATAGGCATACAAGATTTTGAACAGGTTCATATTGTCTATGTATAAATTCCACACTTGGAAATTCACCTTAAGTACTAATAGAAAGTGCTAATATACCAAAGGTCTAAGTATAAGGAGGTCCTTCATGACATTATTTAAAGAAGTAAAAAACCGAAAGCAGGAGCTGGGGCTGTGTCTCAGCAGAAGCGCACTTGCCCATGTTTGAGACACTGGGTTCGATTCTCAGCACTGCATAAATATAAATAAAGAAAGGTCTATCAACAACTAAAAAACTATTTAAAAAAAACAAAAGCAAACAAAATGCTCAAGAATAGGGCATTTTACTAAATAAAATGGAATTTCCATAATAACACCATGCAGTCATTAAAAATAATGATGTAGCTTGTTATAGTTTGGATACGAGATATCCTCCCAAAGCTCTCTATTTATGAGGAAGTAAAATGATTAGATTAAGAGAGCAGTGACCTCTGATTAGGTCAGTGATTAGAACAGTGATTAATCCAGTGGATTAATCTATTTGATGAATTAATAATTTGAAAGAAGTAACTGGGTGGTAACTATAGGCAGGTGGGACATGGTTTGTGCCCTGTAAGTATTCATCTTCCCTGAAGCCCCTTCTCTCTCTCTCTCTCTCTCTCTCTCTCTCTCTCTCCTCCCTGACTTTGCCATGAGCTAAGCAGCTTTACTCCACTGAGCCCTTTAGATTAATGGTATCACATACACTGACAAAATGGAATTAGGGGCATAAAGTCTAAAGGAGAATGGCATAGTTCATCAATAACACTTGAGAAAAGATATTCTCATACTGGCAGCAGCCCTATTGGTTTGAGAGCTTACTACATGCCTTTATTCCCATTTTCTTCATTTTATATTTAAAACAATCCTGCAAGGAAAATATTATCTCCATTTAACCAATAGTTGAGACTTCACTAATAGAAGGCTCATGTGATGTACCCAGGTTCATGCACAGCCCTTAAGAACAACCCTGGACTTGATCTGACCAGGTCTATTGGCTTAAAACCTCTGATCTTAACCTTCCCAGAAGCTACTTCTTTGTCAAACAGGTCTTTCTATAGGGTGTTGTATGCTCTATAGCCCAGCCTGCCCTCAGAAAGCACCTACTGAGAGGACCTTGGAAACAACAGGCAACTGGGATACCAGCAAACAGAATGAACACCTTGACCTTGTCCCCCGAGTATGCATTAGTTGGGAAAGTTTGCAAGGCTCACTTAAGCTATCTGTCTATACACTATTGGTTGAGGTCACACCTCAAGCATTTTTTAAAAATATTTTTTAGATATTAATGAAACTTTATTTTATTCATTTATTTATATGTGGTGCTGAGTATCAAACCCAGTGCCTCATACATGTTAGGCAAGCGCTCTACCACTGAGTCACAACCCCAGCCCCCTAAGCATTTTCTTACATATAACACAAACTTCATCTAAAAAACAGTTGAAATGTTTAAACTTCTCACAAAAACTTACAAAGTGCTTCCAGTTATCTTTTGGTTTTAGAACAAAGTTAAATTTAAAATACCATCACATTTTCCTTAGCTTTCAGTGTTAAGACAAAACTTGTAGAGTTTTCAACTGACATTAACTTTTCCAAATCAGTAACTCTCCTTTCATTTTACTCCCCAAAACAGTTTGTGGGAGCATTCTGTCAGGAAGATCTTCCTACCTGTACACCCAGGGACACTATGCTAGCAGCCCTGCCAGGCAGAGCGACAGCTCAGGCTTCCTCCCACAGTGTTGCCCCCCACTCTGCATGGAGCACCAGCCAAAGAAAGAAAGAGGTGCTCTGCAGTGCTCTCCTCATACCCCCAGCAGCTGTGAGTCCACAGGCTTCTCTCACAAGCACAGAAGTGTGAGGTGGCTGGTTGTACTTCTGAGTTTCTCCCTCACTGATTCCCCCTGAACTCTTGCACATGCTTGTTTACAAAGAAATATTAAGAAAACCAAATTATATTAAAATTCCTTCTTGTTCAAGAACAAATAAGGACAACTAACACAGTTTAGAAGAGATAGCCTGGGACTGGCCAGCCCTCGGCTTCCCATGCCATCTGACAGGGCTGTCCAAACAGGGCTGAGAATTCAAAGTATGGAGACGAGTGGACATGTATCCACTCAAGACTTTCTGATCAAATCACCCAAACCTTCAGTCCTCCTAGTTACTTTGAGTTTAATAATATTCCTAGGCTTTACACAATATTGACATTTTCAATTCTTCCAGAATCAATATTTTTATAAATGGCTTTTGTGTGTAGTCTGAAAAATATGCAAATGTATTAATTCCATTTCTTTCCCATATTCTGCAAATACCAGTATAACTAGTCTTCTAAGGTGATCATAAAATAGAAATGACATCTTTAAAAGGACCAACATAATTTTGTTATGTTTCTACCATTAGTTAAGATTCAATTTATTTATTTTTTCACTCAATGCAGTAAAGAAACATAAAATTTCACAGCTGAGTTATAAAGGAATGTTAAAAATCAAAATAAACTAGAACCAAACATGTCATGGAGAGATTCCAACTTTCCCTTGGAGCCAAGCAGCATTTGATCCTTTCACAGAAAGAATGGTAACTTCTACTCACTGTCAGGTTCCAGTTGATCTGGGGGATCCTCATGTGAAGGTTGAGACTGAACAGAATCAGCAAGACTCCAGTCACCACAAATGCACTACAGCTTACAAACTCAAAAAAGTAGAGGCCTTCACATGGGGAGCACTCCATGATGGTCTCGATACAGATGAATGCAATCAGGGCCAAAATCTAGGAAGAAAATTGGAAACATACATGCATGTATATATTTAGTACACATCTGTGAATATACATGCCCATCATATTTATGTTCAGCTGCAGAGATTTCCTCTGGGGACAGCAGTTTAACTGTCAGAAATATGAACTACTTCAGTTTCTACTTAGGTAGAAACAGGTAGAGGGGCCTGAATGAAAGGTTGGAATTCCTAATGTAAACAGCGAAGGCTCTACCACTACACCAAAACCAGTCCAGGGAGGAATGGCACCCCTGTGTGAGTCACTGGCCCTGGGGAGGAAGGAGGAAGTAGAAAAGAACACCTCTGTGACGTTTTAGTTCATCCTTTGCCATCATAATTTCAAGTTGCTTGTTTCCAATTTATGGTCTCTACCACAGTTATGCTAGACACTGAGAGGATGGAATCTTGTGCTATCTGCAACTACCTTGGTGATTCATGTTGGGGTCACATAGGCTAACTAATGATTGGTACAATCTCCTCTTTCCTCAATTAGAAGCCCCTGAAAGAAGAGGCCCCTAATTAACCCATATGTTTGTGAAAGTGTTATCACTGGACTATATCACAAGAAGATAGAGTGGCAGCTTATTAAAAATTTAAAAATCTGCCATTAACAGAAATAATTTCTTTCTGAAGAACCAAAGTAACATTATAAGCAGTATGTCTCGTGAATATAAAAATCATAAAGTCAAACAGATAAAAATGGAAATTACCAAGTGAATTTTTAAAGGTAGAGTTCAGGAGAAGAGGTGGCCCAGGGTTAAGCTGTTGGTCCTAAGATCAAGGGAGGTCAAGTAGTCTTGAGCAATGAACAGCAGTTCAGCCTTGGGCTCCTGGCCTCACCTCTGTTCCCCAGTGTCTCACAGCCCACCCCATGTCAAGCCCACACTACCATGTCCAGGCCAATCCCCACCCTGCAGCTCAAGGCAGAAAAAGCAGGAAGGCAGATGCAGGCAGCCCTGACATCCTCCAGAGACATGTCCTCCAGGGCCAGCTTCCCAGCATCCCAGGAGCCTTGTGAGCAATGGGGAAGCTCTGCCTCCCTTCCTTGTCCTGTGGAGTCAGAATCTGCTTCCTGACAAGATCCCCAGATTAACTGTGAAAAGCAGCCAAGACACAGGCTGTTCTGGGGCTCTTCCCTGCCTACTCAAGTCCTACTCACACATACCAATGCTCCATTCTCAGTGCCACCTCCTCCTCATGCTGTCCCTGAATTTCTCCCTGCCACATGTCATTTTATTCTACCCTGTCCCAAGAAAGCATTTTACTCCTACCCCATGCATCTCTCTGCACCCTGAGTGTTCGGTGTGCAGGCCACCTCTGTCCCTTCCTAAGGCACCAAGCGCAGTAACTTGCAGAGTTGGCAAATGTGGGCACAATGACTTGCAAAGCCCCACACTTTCCTGTCAGGGTCTCTGTGTAAAAGGAAAGCTGTTTCTGCTATTACCATCAGGGACACTTCCATGCTAATCTTATGTGGTCTTCTTACTTTCTAGTCCAAGTTAACATATTAAAGATGCAGATCTTGTTGATCAAAGGATACAAGATTTCAGTTTGCAAGGAATAGTTTAAGAGATCTATTGTGCAATATAAGGGCTACAGTTTTTATACCAATGGATTTATTTTGAAAATTATTGAGAGAGTAGAGCTTAAGTCTCACTGGAAAAAAAAATAAGTGAGGTGATGCTCATGTTCATTAGCTTGGCTGGACCATTCTACAATGTATACGCATTTCACATCATATTGTACACAATTAATATGTACAATGTTTAGTCATCCATTAGAAAATGAAAGACAAGACAGGGATCTCTAAATACACGCTTTGTACTTTTCCTAATGACTCTCTTTATAATTCTCCACAGGACCACAGCCTTTAATTCTCCATCTGAATTACATGCTTAACTTGCAATCAATACACAAAAGAAACAGTTCATATAAGGCAAACTCCTAAACATCCTTTTTTTGTTTCCACCCCTGTAATCGGATCTACTAATCTTGGGCAAGAAATAACACACTGTACTGATGAGTTACAAATGTTTCTGGTATGTTAACTTCAACCATATTTGTGTGGAAAGGTAACACCTAAATTCTTAAATATTAAAAAAAAATGGCTTCAAGAAAATGCAAATCCAATAGGCTATTCGTTGTAACAGTGAACATAACAAAATATCTCTGCTCAACAGCTCATAATTTAAATGTTTTAATTAAATAAAAAATAAAGTAAGTTAGACAATGATAAGAACAAAGGAGAAAAAGCAGGGAAGGCAAGTGAAGTGTAACTGGGGCCAGGGTGTGAAAACTGTGGACTGTGGACCCTAGAAGGCCCAGCTGAGAAGGGTCTGAGAAAGAACTACAGGAAGGCAGTAAGGTCCTGGCTTGCAGGAGGGAAGATCAGATACATAGAGCCCAGAGACATGCGCAGACCTGGATGTGATAGCCTACTGTGCTAGAGAGAGGCACAATCTGATTTGGATCTTAAAAGGGCCACCAGCTCCACAGACCAGAGGCAGGAGGCTAGGGCAGAGGCTAGAGAAGAGCTGGAAGGCCTCTGCAACACCCTGGAGAGAAGATGGTGGCATGGATCAGGGTGGTATCTGAAGGTGATCAGCCCAGATGGTGAGAAGTGTTGAATTCTGGGTGTATGTTGAAGGCAGAGCCACAGGATCTGTGCTGACACACGATGGGATGTGAGAGGAAGAGGCAGGCAAGCACATTTCTAAGGTTCTTACTTGAGCAACTAGAAGAATGGCATTGCTGCACAGGGATAGGGAAGCCTGCAGGGGAGCAGGTTTGGGGAGGAGTTCAGTTTGGGACATGCTAACACTGTAACAGCTATCAGGCTTCAAGTGGAGCTAATTGTTAGATATGTGAACCTTGAGTTCTGGGGAAAGATTGGAATGGAGATGCAATTGGGAATTGGGGGACAGGATGGAACGACCACCCAGAGTGTGAGTACAGACAGAAAAGAGGGCTAAATGCTAAGCAAGTGATACTCCAACATGTTCATGACAGAAATAGCCACACAGCCTAAATTTCAATTTGAGTTTGCCAGCTACCAACTGGGTGTGGCAGCCAGTCCCTCCAAGATGGCCCCAACAAGGAGTCTTCCTAGTAGTCTCATCTCTGTGACACAATGAAGAAGGCTGACCCTCTTGCAGAAAGAACTTCACAGGTTAGGCCAGAAAACTCAAGTGTGATTTCTTCCTTCCTCTCTGTCTCTCTAGGATCACTTATTCTGGGGAAAATGAGCTAATATGGTCATGAAGATACTCAGGTAGCCTTATGGAAAAATCTAAGTGCCAAAGAACTAACAGCCAACAGCTATGTGAATGAGGGGTCTTAGAAGCAGGTCCTCCTGTCCCAAGTGGGCGGGCCTTAGGTGATACCATCCCAGACAACAGCCAGACTGCAATCACATGAGAACCAGAGCAAAGCCACTCTGGGATTCCTGACCCGCCGAAACTGAAGGATAATAAAGTTCTGTGGTTTTAAGCCACTAAGTTTTGAGGTAATTAGTTAACAGTAATAGATAATATATTAGGGAGGGAACCTCAATAATATTGTAATCACTAATATCAATAAAAAGTAACTACCAGTACTGGTTACCTACCATTTCTCACTCTTTACCATTTAGTCCCTGACACAAACCTATGAGGTAACATTAGTGCCATTTTATAGACAAGGAAACAGAGGTCCTATGAGATAGATAGCAAGAAGGAATGCCAGTATTTCACAGCCAAGATTTGATCCTCATCCTCTCTAGTTTTTATTGCCTTACTATGCTATTCTTCTTATCAATTCCTCATCCCCAATAGCTGTCTTCTTTGCATATCTCAAATGGTCATTATGTTCAAAATCAAAATATACAAACGAGAACTCAAACAGTAACATGCTGTATATAAAATAAGGAAATAAATGGTGTATTAAGAATTGTAATGCAAAAATAAATAAATAAATAAATAATTTTTAAAAATAAGGAAATAAAATTATAACCTATACATATAGTTTTTAAATCAGAAAACATGTATTATACATCTTGTTTTCTAGCTTTTTTCTTTTACATAGTATCTGCAGGCATTTCTATATAAAAAGAAACATACATGTTATTTTTTTTACTACATAGGATATATAAATACACAATCTATAATTTCATCAATACTCTGTTGATAGGTGTTTAGGTGGTTTCTAATACTCAGCCATTACCACCAGTAGAGTCTTTTTTGGAGGGGAGAAGGTACCAGGGATTGAACTCAGGGGCACTTGACCACTAAGCCACATTCCCAGCCCTATTTTGTATTATTTAGAGACAAGGTCTCACTCACTTGTTTAGTGCCTCGCTTTTGCTGAGGCTGGCTTTGAATTCATGATCCTCCTGGCTCAGTCTCCTAAGCTGCTGGGATTACAGGTGTGCACAACCACACTAGGCCTAGTATATATATATTTTTTGCCTGATATTTAGCACAGCAAAATATCAAAACATCTTCCAGCACTGTGAAATCTAATAATCACTGGTGAATTAAGCCCACCTATTGCCTGATAATGACTCAGACCAAGTCAGATTGGAAGCCAATAACTTGTAGCAACAGAGGAATCAAAAGTAACCTAACTTCTAAAAACTTTGCAGTGGACAAATATCAAGTATAAAAATATGTATAAAGATGTTAATGAGATATAAACATGGGAAAGCTAAGGTATTGCTAATCAGAGAGCCTTTTCTGTGTAGTTCTTACCAGCTGATCTAGAGTATTTTCGTAGCTGATAAGTAAATTGGCATTATAAGATTGTCAAATTTACCTAACTGTGGCTAATTAAGGTTGGCAACATCAAAAAGGAAGATAGGAGGACAAGGGGAGCGCTGTCTTACAACACTTTGTAAATGCTCATAAAGTCCAAAGTTAAACTGCTAAGTCCTTTCTGGAGGCTGTGACGTGAACAGGACTGTTCACCAACACATCCGAGTCTCCTCTACCCAGGCACATGGGGGTGCTGCAGAATTTT